AAAAAAAAACGCTGAATTTGTGGGGGTGGGACAAAAGCGATCTTTTATTTGCGCACCCGACCCAAAAGCGCACCCGACCCAAAAGCGCACCCGACCCAAAAGCGCACCCGACCCAAAAGCGCACCCGTCCCAAAAGCGCACCCGACCCAAAAGCGCACCCGTCCCAAAAGCGCACCCGACCCAAAAGCGCACCCGTCCCAAAAGCGCACCCGTCCCAAAAGCGCACCCGTCCCAAAAGCGCACCCGACCCAAAAGCGCACCCGTCCCAAAAGCGCACCTTTTCACTGTTGTTTTTTGGCTTTTTGCAAATCAATACAAAACCAAAAATTCCAAATTTATTTTCCCATGATTATTAGACTAATTTCTTTTGTTTCCGGTGCCAAAAATGAACTTCTAATTGTACTTTTGCTTCTTTATACCTTCAATAACAACCTAACCGTTTAACAGTAAAACATTTAGCAGTAAAACAACGACATAAAACAGACAAAAGTAACAATAACACAACTTAAAAACAGGGCAACATTATCGAGAAACAATATGAGGCAAGAGTTGAGATAAATGTTGAACATGAGACACATTATTTCTACCATTAAGTACAGCATGAAATCTAAGAGTCTGACGATGAACAACACGATTAGTTTGAGGATACAACTGACCAAACGAGAGATTTCGTCCATTGGCAAGTTTTAGCCTGTTGATAGCATTTGACATTTCTTTAAAAAGCCGACAAACAGTGAAGCTTGGATGTGGGTTCTTTGGGCCAATCTAAAAAACGAATAAAAAACAACAGTGAAAAGGTGCGCTTTTGGGTCGGGTGCGCTTTTGGACGAGTGCGCTTTTGGGTCGGGTGCGCTTTTGGGTCGGGTGCGCAAATAAAAGATCGCTTTTGTCCCACCCCCGAATTTGTATGTTATAACCTAATACTTTGGATTATCTAAACTTCACCAGAATAACCCAGATTTTGCACAAGCTGAGTCAATTGTAAATGAAACATCGACAAAAAGTTACTTCTTTTTTGAAAGCATCGACATTGGCCCATCTCGTCAACGGTCCATTAAATGATCCCATTATATATGGAGTGTAGATCTGCGGACATCCGAGAACAGTCAAATAAAGCTCGAAGATCGTTGCGACTATCTGAACTTCGGTGCGCGTCTCGTTATTTATCATTTTGACGAACCAAATGCAGAAGTAACACTTTTGAATAGTCTTTCATTTGAGACGGTGTCTGAGTGAAGATGACAAAGACTCCGAAGAAATTGATCAGAAAACATAGTGGACCTGAAAGAAATTATATGCAAGATTGGTCAAAAAGCCAGAAACCATAGCTTACCAGAGCGAGGTTGTTGAGTGGGTTTTTCTGTTTGGTTTGACCGGCATATTCTACAGGAACAAATCAGGACAAATCAGACAAACTAAAAGCCAGATGACTCTTTTTATAGTCTATAATGGGCCAAGTTAGGGTACTCTATTTCTGACCCTGCTTGCGTCAAATCGTTTCCCATTTTGCTTTTGAACAAAACTAACATCATTTTTGGCCTGAAAGTCGATGTTTCCACACGTTTGCCAGAAAAATACTCAAAGATGACGAAAAGACTTTTTTCAAAAGGCAAAATTAAATTTGGTGTCAAAATATGTAGATCAGTAATTTCTAAATGCCCCAGCGTTAAAATTTTGAAAAAAAAAAACCGTTTCTATTTGGTGCTTTTGCATGGCTTGGCTTCCCATGGTCCGATTTTACAAGCTCATGCTACAAGCTACAAGCTCATGCTACAAGCTCATGCTACAAGCTACAAGCTACAAGCTGTTCCAGAAAAAATGCTCTTCAGAAACATTTCTGGATAAAATGAGACAACTCATGGATGCTCTAAAAAACAGAAAATGATGGTATGATACCTATAGTGTGATAAATCTTATAGATATCGAAATAGAAAATCTTTTCGTTCCTTTTCATAATTCCTTTTAAACCCAACAAATGCACCAATTGAACTACGGTTTATTTCATTAGAAAGACCAATTACGAAAAAGATGATGTTTCCACACATTTTCAGCTAATTTCTAAGTGCCGCAGCGTTGAAATTTTGAAAAAAACGGTTTGTATTTGATGATTTTGCATGGCTTGGCTTCCCATGGCCCTATTTTACAAGCTCGACCGGGCTTGACCTGTTCCAGCAGAAATGCTCTTCAGAAATGTTTCTGGATAAAATTAGACAACTCATGGATGCTCTAAAGACAGAAAACCTACCTATAGTATGATAAATCTTATAGATATCGAAATAGTGATTAGCAAAGATGCCTACCGCTGAAACATTCTTGTACTGAAGTACTAACTGATTGAGAAAGATTTCTTGAGCCCAACCCATCCGACGACAGTAAAGTCGTTCGGAAAACAGGTGGAATAATGTTTTTTGTACCCTTGGATATGTTGGCAATAGTTCTTTTGCCGATTGTCTAGTCAGCTACAAAAAAGCGTCACTTCAGCTGCATTTGACAAAAATTTCGCTTCCGTCTCATTCAAAATCTCATTAACCCTGTGGTATGAAGATTTTTGATCATTACTTCTCCCACTTTTGCGTTGCCGATCATAAATTGTTGTTAAAAATTTCAAAGAAAAAAAGTATAAAAACGAAATTTGAAAAAAATCTATCCAAAAGCCATTTCAAAATAGCCGGAAAACCCGACAAGAGTCAAAATAAAAGCCTTAAATAAGCCAAAGAAAAAAGCATGAGCTCCTTCCCTGATTTTTTCCGAATTTAGTATACCTTTTTTCCAAGAGATAACTGATTCATTCGGTCTTCTTGTACTTTTAAGAGTATTTTGGAAACATAAAGTGGTGTTTTCTGTTGTTGAGGAGTGTAGACACAATCATTGTAGCTTGGTGGAGTCATGGTTTGAAGGGCAAGCTGACACTTTGAGTAACAATTCGAGTCTAGATGGCTTTTGTTTTTAAAAAATAGGGAAGTTTTTATCAAAAGGAAATGAGCTAAAACTCTTTGTATTTATCACAAAGCATGTATCATTTTTCTTAACAAATTAACAGTTTTGATTTCTCAATTTTCTACCTTCTCAATGACTGCCAAGCATCGAAAGCTACGTCTCGAGTTTGCAAAGAAGTATGCAAGTTAGACAGCCAATGATTGAGCAAGTGTGCTGTTTACGGATGAGTCAAAAGTTAATCTTTTCCAACCGGACGGCAATCACCTGATCAGATGGCCTAAAGGACCACGCTATAACATCAAATTCTTGCGCCCGACGGTGAAATTCGGTGGTGGTTCAATTATGCTTTGGGACAAAAGCCTCTTCCTTCCTATGGTTACTAACTTTGTCTTTTTATGCGCTATGTCAAGAAGTTCACCGGGGCCATTCGTTCCGCTTAACTCTACTCTCAACGATCAAAAATTCAAGATGATCTTCGAGAACGGTCGTCTTCCGTGTACGGTCGCAAACATAGGTCACAAAATACTTTAAATAATTAAATATTTAAATTTAAATTTAAATAGTTTTCGGTCTCCCAAAAATATGTGTAATTTTTCATTTTAATTCTCTGCAGCTCAAGGTATCAAGACTTTTGCGTATGACTGTATTAGCGATTACCCCTTGAATAAATGTGTGGTTTGGTTTTTTAGAAAAATACAGTGCGAAAAATTCTCACCTTGGTCATTCCAACTCATAGAATGGCGGCGAGTTATTCTACACTGCCTCTTGCTGCAAATAGGTGAAAACGTTTTATTTTATTCGTTATTTCCTAGGTACCAATTGGTTTTTATCTAAAATACCTTATTTTTATCTTTAGATGTCAGAAGTTTCACAAAGATCCACGCCATTAATTTACAATGACGAAGAATTTGAATATCGCAAAGATCGACAATTAAAAAGCGGTCTCATTGCATATAGATGACTATGTCAAGATAAATATTTAATACAATGACTTTAGGTGTGCGAAAGCGCGTTGTAAAGGACGAGTTCATTTTGATGCCACCATAAAATCAATTGTAAAGGAAGTATCTCCGCACAGCTCTCTTCATTGCGGATTGCCGCCGCCTTGCGGAAAAGAGGTTAGTTTCTATTACAGAACATTGTTTCAATGAAGGTACAATGTTTTTTTTCCATAATTTTGTTGTTTAGTTGCGAAGTTGGTCCTGTAACAAGAGAAAAACAAATTTGATCGTCTTCACAGGAAAGTTATAACGCTAAATTAAAGGTATATTTTTTGCGACATCATTTACATTTTTTTTTTATTAGAATATCACATCGGAATGTTCAGCACAGTTTGTAGCGATGAAACTGTTGAAAGTTCAAGAAGTATTCGAGAACCTTTGTATACTTGCCGCTCAGAAGCCACATTTTCACCACAGCACAGTTTGTAGCGATGAAACTGTTGGAAGTTCAAGAAGTATACACAAATTCGAAAAGCCCATCAACAACGGAAAATCGCCCTTCAGAATGGTACGTTAGGAAAATCTCCCATTGAGCATCTAAAATCTTTGTCTGCTTTTGTTCATTTTAAGTAATTGTTGATGTTTTTGTGGAATTTTATTGTTATTTTGTTGTAATGAATATGTAAAACTTTGAAATAATACAAAGAAAAAAAAACACACTAAACCGACGTGTATACAGAGAAAGATTGCGTTGGCGCTGAAATTAACGTTTTCAAGCCTTTGTTTGCGCGGCGCTGAAATGAAAGCGCGCTGATTCGTTCGCGCTGTTCTAACTAGGTCCTCTTTTTGTTGACCTACAATGTTGACGAGTACAATCAGGAAACAATTTATAAGCTTTCACTCAATAAACACGTTTTGACGCCTATGTACAATGGAGTGAAATTGTCATGGAAATCAGAAGAAAAAATGATTGGGAAAGCGTCAGAACGGGCCGAGACCGCTTCCCGAAAGGAAAAACGGCAAAATGCAAGTGAACGTCTAAAAGGTGGCTCAAAAAGAATGATCAGGATACGGTAATCCTGGTTTATAGTATAAATTTTCTGAAGACTATCTATAGTTTCAAGTCCTCACGATCGAGCATGCCTCTTCATCTTCCGATCCTTCGGTGGCCGACCCTCCGCCACTCAAATGATTTGAGTGCTCTGATAGAGTTTTCACCTAAACATTTCTTCTTTTTTGTTTCATTTCTACACTTTCACTGAATGGTTACTTTCCCAAAACCTTTCAATAAACAGTGAATGAAAAATCAGAGTTCTTCTTGTACCCTTACCGCTAAAGAAGTGTTTAAATTTTCGGTCTCCACGCCCCTGACCTTGTAATTCGAAATCAACAACACGCGGATCTTGTGATTTGTTTTGTTTGTGTGATTGATTGAACGAGGAACTCACCATTCGAGGCGATAGTTGCGGGATATATTGCCGGGGGATGAGCCACGTGCTCAAATTGAACAAATCGAGGAATACTTTGTACTTGTCACTGTAAATCAGTTGCATTATTTTGCATTCACCCTTTTGTGTCACTGACCTGACTGTGGAACGAAGATAGAGAAAACCCGACGAGCCGCCAGTGCCCTGTTTACTGCCCAGCATTCGTTGCACCAGCATCACGTGATTATCTCAAGATTTTCACATTCAAAAGTTTGTTATTGAAAGCATCTAGGGTTTTGTTGCAAAATTGAAGTTTCAATTCATGCAAGATTTTTTTCCGGTGATCATTTTGAGATTTGAAAACTTACAACGCCATTTTGTGAAGAGTGAATCGATGTCCATGAGATAAGTGAGAATCTGATATGGTTGAGAGAAACGAGGCATCTCACGATAGAAGTAGATCATCAATGCACCTTTCATCGCCTCATGTGAAAGAACACGATCCACTAAAAGTTATGGGAGTTTCGGAAAAGATCTCTGAATCTGCTTACTGTATTTTCGTTGTTGATTGTGCTTTTCGACGTCGAGAATCGAGCGGAATGAGTCCGATGTTTTGTGGTACTCAGCGATCAATTGATCACGAACCGGATCTGGATGCTCGGGATTCTAGAATATCAGTGTTTAGCTAGATAAAGAAGAATTTGTAAAACCTCAGCATCCTTTTTGAGATCATCAAGATATCGATTGACAGCTTGCTCGTATTGAGACCAGAAGCCCTCTTCCTCTTTTCCATTGGGACCTTTTAAACCCGGAGTTCGTTCTAACCAACTCTGAAAAGCAATCATTGCTTTAACTCTAGCAACTAAGCTTTTGTTTGCTTTACTTTACTTGCTTTGCTTTACTTTACTTGCTTTGTCTACAGTTTTTGTCAAATTCTGTTGTTGTTATGACTTCTTTATAAGTACAAAAAAAAGACTGAAGACAACGTTGCGATAGTTTCAAATGATAGTTTGCTTCAGAAAAAAATCGTAACTCAAGCTAATTGTCAAATCTGACCTCCATCAATCTGAGTAGTGACGGCTCGGTTTCACTCTTTTCCAAAGCATCCAATTCCGCTGAGTGCTCAAAAACTTTCTTATAATGTTGAGCATTGTAACGAATTCGACGCTCGGGCAACACTCCTAAAGGCTCAAAATTTTAGAATTTTAATTCTTTTTAATTTTACTACCTAGTTTATTTTCCAGAAGACGAAACTGCAAAGATTGAAAACCGGAAGCTGGAGTCAGAAATTTTCTAGAATCTCTATTTTGAAAGAAAAAAAAACGTAAGTCGAACCTGAATTCAACAAAATCAAGCGGGCTCATCGTCTCAAGAATATGCATCTGATCAGCCAATAGCTTCAAAATTCTGACCGTTCTTTCCAAACCCGACACAATGCGCAATGTTTTTGTTTCATCAACAACCTAGAGAAGAATCTTTATGCTTTACAAATGAGCTATTTACTTACTTTACTTACTTTGCTTTACTTTACTTTACTTTGCTTTACTTTACTTCCTTTACTTTACTTGCTTTGCTTTACTTTATTTACTTTGCTTTACTTTACTTACTTCTGAAGTGATGACTTTCAGTGGGAATTGTAAAGAGTTACAGAATACCTCTAGTACAGTTACAGAATACCTCTAGTATAGTGTTTAAAGTTCTTCAATCACTTACACAATTGTTCAGCAATCCTCTCACGATATCGATATCGAAGATGATCTGCTTAAACCAAAGTTCGTATGCCTGAAAAGCTTTTCAGAGTTTGATTCAGTTTTTTTTCGACTACCTGATGTATAACGATGAATAAATGCTCATCGTTTACTGTGTGACCACCCTCTGTCGATTGCAATCGTTGACAAGATAAAAGTTTACCAAGCTATAAATTCCAAAGTTCTCTTTTCTTTTTTTTTTCTTGTTTCCTTTTACCTGTAAATAGTCACCGTATGTTTCGCCCATTTTGAGCTCAACTTTATTGACACCCTCCTGAAAACAAGAAGCTATTTATTGCATTGAAAGTGAGCGCATTGCCAAACCTGTCCATTTGCGTGATCTTCCTCGTGAGCGCTCGTCTCGAACTGCACTTTACTCTCATCGATCACTGAGGTGGTGGTGGGCTCGGCGGCACCATAGCCATACGGACAAGCCATGGCTATTTGTTCTAAAAAGTGAAACGATTGTTGATGACATCATTGATTAAAAAAAAGGTTGCTCAGAAAAGCTATACAAAAGTTGAAAAGGGTGAATGAAAAAGTGACGGCCCTGGGGGAAGCATGGTCATCTATTTTAGCTCCGAAGTTTGGGGAATCCCGCCCCAAAAAGCAATGATCGCAAAGAGGATTTCCCCCAAAAAATGGGGAAAAAGTTGCGGAATTTATGGCCGGATGGAAATCGAGAAAAAAAGAAAGGTATTGGGAAAGAAAAGTGCGGGGGAATGATCAGGGGAAGACGGGGTGGTGCTGGTGATGGAGAAGGGAGGCGCGGAGGGGGTCTCGTTTCATCGACACCGTTCAAGCACGTGAACACTCGAGCAGAGCAACGATGGACGGCGGGAGCTTTCCCCCCGATCTCCCATCATCGCCAAAATCACCTTTGTCCCCCATGACCAAATATTTTCTGTGCTGTTTTTTTTTCTTGCGATTGCCCCGAATTCGGGTTGAGCTGTGTGATCATAGACAACACGCGTGCATTGCAATGAAAGAAAACGTTTTCGCTGAGTTGCTGATCATAACAAAACGAGAGGATAGCAAAATGAGATGGGGATTTCCCCTAAAAAAAAATGAGTAAATCAATTGAGGTGATTGAGGGGGGAAAAAAGGAGGTAAGAGATATTTCTGACAACTTCCGCTCTCTGAGCCCAGTCCATCATCTGCGCTTATCAGCGCGACCCATCTTAAAACGCAAAAAGAGATCCCAATAGGGGAGGAGATGAAGAAAGTTATTTCTAGGTGAACTGCCAAAAGATCAAATGAGGGAAAAGTGGAGGCAATTTGGTGTTTCAAGGTGGTTAAACGGCAAAATCGATATCATCGATAAGTGAGAATTGTCTCCAATTGCAGAGATAGAGGGAATTTTCAGATGTAAGATAGGGTCGGCGCTCACACGATTTACACACAGAACAGACCGTACCAAAAATGAAGCGTGGCTGCGTTTCAACGAAACCACCAAGTAGTCGGGGGGAGGGGGTATGGGGGTGCACGGGGGCGAGACAGAATGGAGGGGGGGAGGAGAGATATCATCACTTCATCCCCTCTTTTTGAAAGACGGCTGCTCATTTTCTCTGTGTGTAGATCCACTGATCGAGCGACCATTTTTGGGTGCAATCATCGATCTTTTCGCCACTTTCTTTCTAGGCTTAAAATTTGTGAAAAAGTGTAGTTATTTGAAAAATTTCGACCGTTCAACACATACTATAGTCTCTAGGTACCAGAAACAATTTCCGTTTTTAAGATTGATATGAAAAGAATTTCACAAATTGTGGCAATCCATCATCATCCTTAGAAAGGAGATCGTCGTCACCATACGTTGAATTGACTGTTTCTGTTAGTTTGGAGGTGATACAAGATTTTAAAAGTGTATACTTTTACCAAAAGACAAATATTTATGAAATATATCAATGAACAACAACCACCATATGTACTTTCTGATGAAACGACTTGCCTCGGGAACTAATATTTTGGGCGCTTGCTGCTTTCACTAAAAATGAATTTACATATATGAAAATAAAAACACCAAAATACCCTGCATCAGTTCCCTGCTTTCGTTTGTCGATAATCTTATTGATTTCGTTAAGTTCTCGATCAAGCTTGCGTTCGACTGTCTTTGCATCCTGTGCACCCATCTAAAAAAATACAATGTATGATTGAATTGAATTAGATTTTAAAAAGTAGGCAAGTGCGTTTTTAGAATAATCACCTTGCGCGTTTTTCGCCCATCATTCATTTTAACTCCAAATTGATAAGCAGCTTTAGGCAATGCTTCACGAGAACCCTAAAATAATTAGATATAGATGTGCAATTCGCAAAATGACCAAAAAGGGCCTCAAAACCTACTTGATACTTTTCAAAGTCTTCTTCATGGTCGAAATCCCATCGTTTGATGAGTCCCTAAACTTATTTTTGTCCAAACTACTGAAAGAATGTGTACTTTCTTGTTGCTATCCATCTTTGAAAAGTCGGCTTCCTCGTCACTGTCTTCACCAACCATTTCCACCAAGCCCATTGGGTAGCACTCAGCGTAATCTTCCTATAAATTCTATATTTATGCAAATCCGAAATAAAACCTTACATAAACTTGTCCGGCTTCTTGTCCTTCTTTTAGACGTTTCGCTAAACGTTCGGCCAATTTCTTCTCCTTTTCTACATCCGCTTTTCGTTCTTTTTCTTTTTCCTCCCGTTCCCGTTCTTTTTGTTCACGTTCACGTTGCTTTTCCCTAAAAAGCAAATTCTATTTTTTATTTACTTGAAACAGACTCGACCCAGTAATAATCAACCCCGACCTGTCACGTTCACGAGCAGGATCTCGGCGATCTCTATGGCGGTCCCGATCTCGATCGCGTCGATCCTCTCTATCATCTTCTTTTCTATCGTGTCGTCTAGCATCACGATCATCCCTGCAAATAAACAATAAAACGCTATAATGGTACATTATTCAAAAAAATGTTAAACTAGGCTTACTTTTCTCGTCGACTGCTTTTTGCCTCTTCGTTTCCGCGCGCACTTTTCAAATCATATTCACCGGCATCATCAAAAATAGCATCATCTTTGTGCTTTGCAAGCTGTGCTTGTTCACCAGCATTAACTTCTTTGTCCTAAACATTTTTAGTATATAAACGATCTACAAAATCTAGACTTTGACCAACCTTCTTTTTCTTTTTGCCGTCACCACGCAAATATGAAAGAACTTGAGTGAGCTTCTGAATGAGAGCACTGTCAGCAGCGACTGTGGCATTTCGATCTTTTGGACAATCAAATACGGAGCTAAACTTAAATTCTCAACGCTTCTAACTTCTTTTTACCGCAAGATTGTCGTAGGAATCTCGGCTTCATCGTCTTCCATGTCAGCCGCATAGGCCATTCGTCCTCTGGCAAAAAGTTCGTTCTTTGCTGGCAACTCGTCCTAACAAATTTAAAGAGTTCAATACAAAACTTTTCAAACTTTGAATAAAATGCGATTGATGTTGCGAACCATTCGACTGTCTGACTCTTTCATAGGTGCTAGTGGAGCACTTTCCGCAGCAGCCGCCTACACTCATAAATACCTTTTTTTCAACATAAACAACAAACTCTATCATCTAATGCTTTCTCAAGATCTTCATCACCAACGTCTCCATGCGTTTTTGTAATTTCTGATCGAACCTAAAAATTACAGATTAAAATAATAAAGAACTTTTTCAGTAAAAACCTTATTGAGCAAGGAATAATCGAGACCTTTCACCAAGTGAGTGTGCTCCATATCTCCTCCAAGGAATTTTGATTCCTAAAATAGTTTATAAAAAAGCAAAAAAGCAAAATGCTTGCTTGAATAGCCCGTCGTCTTTTTTCAGCAAACTCGGCTGCTTGTCGTGCATCATTGGGAACTGCTCGATAAGCTGCGCGTGTTCGTTCGAAATCATCTTCCTAAAAGAACAAATATAGACACAAATTAAATAAAAAAAATCTAAGCTCTCTCAAATGTTTTCTATAGTTGTTTTTCATTTAAAATGCATGCATAGATATGCAAAAAGTCCAAACCGTTTCTCCTTGTCGCCGTCTTTCAGCTGCACGATCACGATAATTCTTCATGATTTCTCGAAGTTCCATATCTCCATCATCTTCGACCTCCTCGGCCGTTGCTTCTGTTGCTACAGGTTTTGGCTAAAAAATAATTTAATGAAGAAAAACAAAATTACCTTACCTTCTTGTATTTCCAAGCATTGTTTTTCTTTTTTGTTTCGGCAGGCTTGGCACGATGTGAAAATGATGGACCTGTGGCACGAGCTGTTGTGGCATCTGAGAGAACGGCGGTGCTTGCTCGTTCAGTAACAAATTTTCGAAAGTCCTCATTTCTTAGCGCGGACATCTCTGAAAAAACAAGAGTTAGAAAAACCCAAGAGAACAAAAAAGATATGAAAAAACATATAACTCTAGAATTGCTTAATCAAATCTTTGCTTCTATAAAGAACAAGACCTTAATGCGTAAGAGCTTACAGCCTATATTTCAAACTATAAGTCCATTTTGTACTATCGACACTGTCAATCATAAATTGCCTCGCGTTGCCGCTTAATCTTTTCACTTTTATTATTTTTCATCATTTCGTTTTGCCACAACTCTTGAAGTTTTTCCATTAGTTTTTTCCAAGTTTTCCCAACACTTTTCTTCTTTTAAAATGATCTTGATCAAACATAATCTATTTCAGGTAACCTTTGTGGTGTCCATCACCATCACGTAATTGAGAAAAAGCACCAAAAAAATAGGAAAAATGAGCGATGATCTTAGTGCACTTTTCGCTAAACGAAAGGAAAAGAAGCAGAAGAAGAATGTGGTGAGCATGGATGCAGTTGGAGAAGTGTTGCAGAGGCGAGCCAGAAAACAGGTAAATGCTGGAATAGAGAACTAGTGCAAGTTGCCTAATGATGAAACAGCGCATAACTAAAACGTGAAAATTGTAAAGCAAATGGTTTAGACTTGCTTAGCGGTTCTTAACGGTACCCACACAGCGAGGGTTCAGTTCCGGTCACGGTCAATGCGTTTCGTTTTTTACAAAAATTTATCAAACTTTTGCATTAAATCTGGAGATACCAGTAAAGTAGTTGGTTTTTTAAAATATTGCAATTTTACATAATTATGCCAAGTTTTAGTCCAGGGCTGTTAAGAGAACCGTTAAGCAAGTCTAAAGTCTGATTCTTTTTTTAAATTTCCATAAAACCTTGCTAATTGGCGCCCGCTGCTGTGATGCGCTATTTACTCCAATTGCAAGTTTACATATCTACCTAGGTAAAATGAATTCTAAAAATAGTAATTTCTAGGAAGAGCTAATGGCTGCGGAAGTGGAAGAAGAAAAGAGAAGTGCACAAGATGAAGCTTTTCTCAAGAGGACCGCGCAAGAAGAGAGCGATTGGATCGATTCTTACGAAAATGATATCGGCAGGTTGGTGTGAAAACGTTCTATATTGCGAAAACTACTCGAGAATTGAGAAAGCAACTAGTACGGCAAGTTTCAGATTCGAGGGCCTCAAAATCAAGGACATGGGTGCTGAAGAAACCGATGAGGATGAGATCCTTCAGGCAGCCATTGAATTGAAGAATAATGAAGAAGTTCAGCACAAAGGATGGGGAGCGGTAAATGTGATTTTTATTTTTTTCATCACAAAAGTTTTTCTCCAATGAACATTTGATAAAGATACTAATTCTAGAAGAAAAACGAGAGTGAAGATGATGAAATGCCGGGAGCTTCGGAGATGGCGGCTGTTCGACACAATCCGCCAGCACCCACTCGATATGTGCCACCAAACTCGCGTGGCAATCGAGCTGCGAACCTCGATCTTAACAATCAGGTTTGTAAATTATCAACTTTCAAGATAAGTAAGTGACATATTTTCTAGGAAATGTTCCCGACTATTGGAGCCGCTGATGAGATTGAGAAACATCACAAAGAGGACAAGAAGAATCCATGGTATGATGAAAAAGAAGAGAAAAAAAATAGTAAAAGTTTTTAGGGGTACCCCGGCAGGAGCTCCTGCACAAGCCGCTCCTGGTCGGAATACTTATCTTGCTCCAAGTCGACGTGGAGGAGATGGTTCAGCTGCTTCAATGACAGAAGCCTCTATGGCAGCTGCCAGAGTAAGTTAAATTTACATTACAATTTACATTACAGTAGTGGTTAACGTCTCAAAAGATTTAGATGAATGTAATTCTATAAAAATTCTATAAAAACTGCAACCTAGCCATTTGTCTAAAGAGACTAGACATTACTGGTGTTCACAGTAGTAAATAAATAGAATTTCATGCATAGTTAGACAATTCATGTTACTTATCGTAAATACTCTAATAGAACTCCATCCCCATAATGACGGGGTATTGTCGCGTAGTCTAACATTACACGCTCCGTTCTCAGCACTGCTTTATACTACAATGTCTAGCATAAAGCAGTGACGGGGTATTGTCGCGTAGTCTAACTTTACACCCTCCTTCCTCAGCGCTGCTTTATGCTACAATGTCTAGCATAAAGCAGTGACGGGGTATTGTCGCGTAGTCTAACTTTACACCCTCCTTCCTCAGCGCTGCTTTATGCTACAATGTCTAGCATAAAGCAGTGACGGGGTATTGTCGCGTAGTCTAACTTTACACCCTCCTTCCTCAGCGCTGCTTTATGCTACAATGTGTGCTTTGATGTCAAACGATATCCCTTCTAATCGAGTATTTTTAATACTAAAAACATAATTGAGAAAAATGATTGAAAAAGAAGTTAGACTACGCGATTGTATGGGGGTGCTTTTGTTAGAATGATTATGGTATACATATTTAACACATCAACATTTCCAGAGCGATGCCATCGCTGCCGTGCGAGCAATGTCCGCCGCCGCCCCAACAGCCAACGTTCGTCCCATGGCGACTTCACAAGCCGAGAACACTGCCACTGCTACACCCACCACCGATTCCACTCAAGCAATCATTCCACCAAAGCCAACTCCACCTGTTGATACAGCACCTAAGAAAAGTGCTTATGTTCCACCCCATTTGCGCAATCGTCAAAATTAGGGTACCCTTGGTTTTAGGGTGTTTTAGTTCTTTCCCTTTGCCTTTTGAAGCCATAATTTCCGGGCACTATCTAAAATAAAGATCATGGAAACTGTAACTGTTGAAGCTTTCATTAAATTCTAATTGTCTTATTCTTTCGATAGCTTTTCGTTTCCTTTCGATCAATTTCTGATGTTAGGCGTTGGCGAAAGGAGTCTCAATAATTCACTTATAGTGAAATTGATCGTGCCAAGAAAGTTTCCAAAACTATCACTATCGTTATTTATTTTTATGATTTCAATGTATTCATGTTGTTTTTTTTGTTTTTTTTCATTTTTCCAAATAATTATGTCTTAAAGAAAAGAAATCACGGTTAAAAAGCGGCACATCAATTGTGCTTCTTCACATTTCCTTTCCACTTTTTTTTTGTTTTCTTGCGGTTTTCTTAATTTACTATACCGGTTATTTAAAAGTTATGTTTTGTAAAAGTTTTGTAAAAGTTTAATAAATAAATATCATTGATTAGATTGATTAGATTGATTTGATTGATTTGATTGATTTGATTGATTAGATCAAAAATCAGTCGTGTGAAGAGCATCTGAACATCTGAAATTCGAAAACTCTGAATCATCGACCCTTCTCCCCCCAAAACAATCTGATAAATGTAAATAAAAAAAAAAGGCAATTGATTCAGCTAACAGGGGTTATCGATATTTTGGAGAGCTTCGACGCTTCGATTTGCCCATCATGGACCCCTCCCCTCTCCCTCCTTTTCGGTTCAAAAGCAGACGTGGGCGCGCATACCGACGTGGCAAATATGAAATGCGTTTTTCCTTTGCTTCACCCCTCTCCTCTCTCCCCATTGCCATTCCCCCCTCCCACACTCAGAACGAGCCACACAGTAACGTTGCTAGCAGTGCCCGTCTCTCTTTCTTTCGGGAATTCCTCGTGTCATCACCCTGGGAGGCCCATTCTTGCTCTTCGAGAATACATTATTCTTTCAAAGTCCGCAAACTATTCATTCAGCTTTCAGTGCCTTTACACAACTTTCAGAAACAGTTGAATTCTCGATTCTCTACCACTACAAGATTAAAATTCTCAGCAAAAAGAAGAACTCACTAAGCTATTAAGCTTAAACTAATAATTGCTTAGTTTACAAAGTCTAGTTAGTAAGTTGTGAATCGATTACTTTCCTAGCTTGTTTTAGAATCTAGAGCTTTAGAATTTAGAACTTTAGAAACTAGAGCTTTAGAGCTTGAATTTAGAATGTTTTAGAGCAACTTTTACACTACTTTCATGGCCTTGAATGTTCCTAAATCTCAATTCTCTTGAACCTGCCCATTTTTCTTCATTTATCATTTTCTCTTGTTTCAAGAGTCTTTTGGAATTCAAAAGATAAGTCTTCTTCGGGAATTTAGAGGTGTAGAAAGAGCTGTTATCAGGACTGATTCGAGATTATAGGTCTTTCTTTCAAACGTGGCACTCAAAAGACCGCGCCCCATTCAAGTCCACTTTCAACTAGTCACTTCTACAAAATTTTACTTTACTTCTTACTTTTACCATGGTTTATTTCAATTTTCTCTTGAAAAATTTATTTCCAATTTTACAATTTGTCTAAAAAAAGAGCTTTCAGTGAGTCGACCTGGTGCGCTCGCTTGGATTGCGGTAATGAGGCCGGTTCCCCTGTGTAGCTGTTAAACCATCCTTTTTTTTTCAACCCTTTATACTAGGTGAGTTTAAACTATAAAACTATAAACTAAACTTTAAACTAAACAAATAAATGCAATAACTAATCGCCCTAAAATCAATTTTCAGCTTTAAAACCGAAATGAGTGCAATCTAGTCAAGTGTACAGAAAAAAATTATTCCGACCACAACGCCGAAAGCAACCAAATCTTTGTAACCAAAACAATTTGACCAAATTATAGTGTTTAGTTTAATCTTTTTGTTTAATTTAATCTTTTTGTTGAGTTTAATCTTTTTGTTTAATTTAATCTTTTTGTTTAAAATCTATCAACATCAACATTTTATAGAACTTTTTAAATATTTCTTTTCTTTTCTTTTCTTATCTTTTTTTTTGTAATATTTTATTATGTCGTGATTCATTTTTTTTTGATGCCGAGCGAAACTGTGATATGTGTACATAGTCTTTTTTTAAAAACATCTTTTTACAAGTATTTTCTAAGTTTTTTTTATTGCCTTTTATCGAGAAATTGTTGAATAAATTAAAGTAATCAAATGCAAGATGTGGAAAAAAAAATGAAAGATAAAGCATCACAGCCTTATACACAATAATAGAAAAGATGATATTGAAAAGTCGATCACAGGTATTAAGGAAAGAATCGTGAATAATTGAAATGGTGTTGATTTCTTTGGAAAAAGTCGAATAGGGTAAACGCCTGGTATCTGGCATACTGATTTGTCTGCGTTTTGCCCGTAAACACTTCCTTTCTGGTGCACTCAAATTGCCATTTTTCTTGCATTGAATAGTTATTGAAGGGAAATTGACGAGCTCAGTGCGCCAGAAGGGGTTTGCTTTTATTTTTTGGTAACATATCAAATTGTCACCTTTAAAACAGCATCAGATATTTTGCGTTTCCTTTCACCTATTCTATTTACTACCTTGTTTCTTAAACACTCACGACTAGCTAATTAAATTTAAAATTTAAAAACTGATTTCGGAGTTGTGACACAAAATTTATTGGGTTGATGGAAAAGTCCTTTCGGATTTTTTGAGAGAGTACCTTAAATTTGTCCAATTTTGACGTTTTAGCTTTAGGATGAGCTATAAAAGCTATAAAAGTCTGGGTTTTGCCCGTAAGCACTTCCTTTCTGGTGCACTCAAACAGCTATAAAAGCTATAAAAGCTATAAAAGCTATAAAAGCTCATCCTAAAGCTAAAACGTCAAAATTGGACAAATTTAAGGTACTCTCCCAAAAAATCGGAAAGAACTTTTCCATCAATCCAATACATAAAAATAAAGAACATTGCCAAGACTGGGCGTGAGGATACGAATTTCATGAAGCACCGAATTACTTGCAGTTAAATCAAATCAAAGCTACATTGTAAAAGGCGCCTATAAAGTGACTCAGAAATCAGAAATACCAAACTTTGAGAGCATAAAATAGAGACAAAATTTAATCGGTTTTAAATAAAGCTTGACTGATCTCAGAAAGCGCTGAATAGGTTCCAGTGGTGAATCCGATAATGGCAAAGAAAAGAAGGAGTCCATTTTTGAGCCACATCGTTGCGGTCAGCTCACCTTTTGCGTATAGAACCTAGAGGTGTTTTATAGTGTTAAGTTAAAGTCTATGCATTACAATTTCCAGAGCAAGCTCAGACTATATGAGCTTTAAAGTACAGTACTTCTTAAAAACTACTTTTTTAAAGTACAGTACTTTAATTAAAAATTGAAAAGGTTAAGAAGCTGATAAGTGTTGTTAAAGATGTTCTTAAGAAACATCTTTAACAAGCTTCCTGGTCTTGGATCAAATTGAACATTGTGTAAAGCACTGTCTTACCAATAGTTCGATGATCGGTGGGAAGACTAAAGCCATCGAAGCCCCCGAAAAGGCTCCAATCAGCGAGATGAAAAGCGCCAAGTGAGGGATCGCTTCGGCTAAGATACCTAAAAATTACATTTTATTTCTTCGTTATTATCTACATGTACTCTTATTTTATGTCATGACTTACATGTACAGATCACTCCTCCAAATCGTGCCGCATAGATGTAACGGGTTTGCTTGTGTGCCGGGATTTTTCTCGTCACCCATTTCTCGACTCTGAAAGTCTGTTAGTAGCCGAAAGATTGTTTTTTTGTTTACCTTTCCATTGGCACATAAAATTGAAGTGGATAGGAAATCATGATGCACAAAACGAACATAATTTTGATCGTTTGGTAGAATCTGTAATGTTTTTTTTTCTGGATTTAGTGCTAAAACTTTCAATCGAGGGTCAAATCCTTTCTGTTATTTATATTATTACTAAAGTTATTACTAAAGTTCGAGTGGTTCGGATGGCTTGGATGCGGGTGGTTCAGGTGGGAAAAATTTTGGTGGTTACTAAAGTTCGGGTACGAGTGGTTGGAAAGTTTGGGTGATTGTTTATTTAGTTGCTTTTCATTTATTGCACGAAATATTTGCACTTAACAATCAATGTAGGTAGTTGATCAATTGTTGTTTAATTCATTCCGATAATTTTGCTCGACAAACAAATGGATAGTAGACATTGCACAATAGAGCTTTTGTTTGGAAAGTTGATTTCTATGCGCGTTTTTTGCTTTGTTTCTTGATTGATTTAAAAGTTTTAACACGTCTATTTGATCTTTCAGCGTTTTTTGATTACTTTTTGCTTAACATGACTTCATTTCTAAGTAATTTTGCTTTGACAGCTCACCTACCAGGTATGTACAACTTTGGTTATTTTTTCAAAAAGTAAAACGTGACAAAATCAACCAACCACCCGAACTTTTCAACCACGCGAACCCGAAGTTTAGTAACCACCCGAACTTTTCACCACTCTTCACCGGTTCCAATACGGTTCCTATTTTGATCTAATAATTCCAATACGGTTCTTTTTTGATCTAATAGGGTAGGATCCACCCGAACCCGAACTTTAGTAATTGCCCTTTCTGTCTCATTAGAAATTTCTAAAAAAATGTCAACATACGGTGTCATAGGTAAATTCAAAGTCGCTGTGTCTTTCACCGTCTCGCCTAGAGCCAAATAGCCATAGAATCCAGCCACTGAAACGATTTGATAATTTCTTGTGCCTCGATTTTTTTCTCTTACTTGTGAAAATGGCCAAAACGACCATGCAGGACGAGTTGAGCACTCCATTCCATCGAATAAAGGCCGCTGGCTGGGACATTCGGTTTTCGATTGGCATAATCTGAAAAAGTTTGATGCAAAGATACAACTTCAAGTGCTTAAGTTCAAAACAAACCACTTCGATTATATAATGAGCAATCTGTGTTTTCTATACGATGCGCAAGTTACCGTAGACAGACCAAGCTTGGCTGAATATCTTTTGCAACTTTTTTTTTAACAAAAACTCTACTCATTTCTCTCTTGGCTTGCTGGTTTGCTCTGCTTTGACTACCTGTTTCGCCATTTATGGCATCCTACTACAGGTTAATTTTTATTTATTTTGTTTAATTCAGCGAAACAGTGCTTTTTACGTCAGTCATTTTTCCTCTTTTTATGAAAAGCTCACTGAGCCGGCTAGTTGGTTTGTAAAGTTGAGTCTAAAGTGCTTTGTTGTTGCGGTAACGATTTAAATGTTGTGTCATTGTTTCTTTTCTTTGTTTTCTCACGACAAATTTTTACTTTAGAATGCCCGATCTTGCTGGTTTCCGCGATCTTCTCGCAACAAAATGGAAACATGCGATGGAAAAACTTTCGGTGGCGCACTTTGTTTTTGTTTGGTTGTTGATGCCATTGATGTCACTGTAAGTTTACATCGTATTCTGTCAGTTACTGCTCTACGTGTAGATGGGTTCCAATTTATATTCTCTTCCAAACTCAGCTTTGGCCTACTGTTCCAGTCTATATGGCGTGGATGGTTTATGATTGGAAAACACCGCGTCGTGGTGGGCGAACCATGGTATTTTAATTCTCATAGCTTGTTGAGCTTTTTTGTTTAGAGTTGGTATCAGCGACTTGGAATGTGGAATCATTTCCGTGATTACTTTCCAATAAAGCTCGTCAAAACAGTTGATCTATCTCCAGACCGAAATTACATTATGGGGTGGGAATTTAAATTGTTTGCTGCAGTTGATTGATCTTTTAGTTCACATCCGCATGGAGTTCTTTGTGTTGGCGCCTTCAGCAATTTTCTAACAGCTTCAAGTAAATTCACCGGTTTGCTTCTTTGATCATTTCGGTATGAATTGTTCTCTATAGAGTTCTATCCCGGTTTGGACCCAACAATTTTGACGTTGGATGGTCAATTCAAGTTTCCTCTACGTCGAGAAATTGCGTTGGCAACTGGGGGCGTTTCTTCATCTCGTGATTCATTGGAATGGCTTCTAAAGAATCCCGGAAAAGGACGAGCTGTTGCTGTGGTGGTAGATTTTTAATTCTTAATGATGATAATGAGAATAATGATACTTATGACCATGTACTATAATAATTTAGGTTGGCGGAGCGGAAGAAGCCTTGGATGCTAGGCCTGGTTCAACACGTTTAAAGCTGTTGGGTCGATACGGATTTGTTCGCTATGCCATACAGTATCAGTAAGTTTATTTTTTAGTAATCTTTCATTTGCATCTTTAGTTGCTGCCTTGTGCCAGTTTTCAACTTTGGAGAAAACGATCTGTATTCTCAACAAGAAAATCAACAAGGGTCTCGCCTACGTTCCATTCAAGTTTGCAGTGAATACCTACTTGCTTTCACTTGGATTATTTAGGGCAAGATCAAAAGTTGGTGTGGCTTTGCACCACCATTGCTTCATGGCTGTGGCCTTCTGGCACCTATGGGTCTTCTCCCTTTTCGTTCCCCGGTTACAACGCTCATTGGAAAGCCTATTTGTTGCAAGGTATCGTGACCATGTTTTAATATGTAGTAGTCTTGTTTTTTAGATTGATGGACACGAGTATGGAACTTTGCCAAGTGAAGAACTCGTGATAAAACAACATTCACTCTACATGCAAGGGCTCGTCGATCTTTTTGAAGCAAACAAAACACTTCATGGAAATTTTAAAGATGATGATCATTTGGAATTCGTTTAACGGTGTTTAGATTTTTTTTAAGGTTTTCTGTGTCATGCGTCTCATTGTCATTTTGGTAGTTTGTTAGTTTTTGTCCTTTTTCCATTTTTGACCTTAAAATAGCTATAAACTTAAGCTCAACAACTGGTTTCTGGAGTATTTAAGACTTACCGAATGAAAAAATAGAATGAGATTTTGGTAGATCCTTGTATTGATCCGTTAGCCTCTATGACCCTAACGAAATGCTATTTTGTGGTTCAGATGCGTTGTACATCTTTATATAAAACTAACCACTGCAACTCCCTCGAAAGCAAACATGACAGTTCCAAAGAATAGGGGCAGCTCGGTGAATTTCCCCATCCACGACACAGAGTTGATAGGCCTGAGATCTAAAAAATTGGAGGGTTTGAATGTTGTGTCTCGTTTGAGTACTTGTGAAGAAAAAGTAGAGGACGATGGCGACTGCAACCAAATAAACAACATTCGCTGCCATGGCAAATGGAGCCAAAACATTCAATCGTCGGATTGAACAGATTGCCTGGAATTGCATTATTACTAAAATTTGTAGAACTTCATTCACCAGCATTGGAATGAGCAAAATAAGCATCCATACCGAGACCGGCAATTTTATATCAAGGTTTGCACGGAAAAACTGAAAATTTGTGTTTGGTGAAAATACATTGTTGACTTACGTCTTCGAGATTATCTGCCATGAAGACAAAATACACACAACAAAATCCCAATTGTGCTATAAACATGTTCACATTGACGAGTTGCCTGTAGAGTTTTGGATTAATGCCTGTTTTCGAAAGCTCACTTGAAGAAATATCCTCGATTCCGAATCCAATCGGGTCCCATCTCCACTGCTCCTCGCATCACATTTGCGTAATCTATCAAATCACGTCCATTTCTGAAAATGTTTCTCTACTTTTATTCTTTTAACTTTTGAAAGGCTATACCTCGAGCAAACGAAATGCGCGGCGAAGACAACTTGTCGCATACAATAGAGACAAACAACACAAATGACGACGACGAGTACAAGACCGAGCATGAGACCCGAATGTTTAAAAGCGAGCGGAAGTGAAAGAAGACCCGTACCCAGCATAGCCTAGATTCTGCTTTTGGATTCAGTTTCTCGAGAATTCTAAACCTTAACCATGTGAATGAAAGCTTGTTCTGGCGTCAGCGATGAAGAACTTTGAGCTCGTTCCTGGAAAAAAAGTTTATTCATTAAATTTTGATGATATGGGTTAAATATTCTTCGAATTTTGCCGACTCACATGAAACAAATAGAGCTCTTCATCGTCGTTTCCGTCTTCTTGGCGACGATTCGTCACTCCAACCGCCATCACGTTCGTCGATCCGTCGGTAGCCTGAAATCGGTCGATTATTTAAAAATATTTGCCTCTATAAATTAATCAATTTTTTTTTTCTAAGCAACCAACCGGATTAGCTGACCCGTTTTGACTTTGTTCATGATAATATGTAGCCTCAGGCGTCTCCATTTGAAACTAGACAATCTGCAATTGGATCGATGTCTAATAAATGATGAATTCAAAGCCAGACCGGCAATTGTTTGCCGAGTTCGAACGTCTAAAAGTTCAAAGTTCTTTTATAGAAGTTCGTTGTGTTATTTTCTTTGGCTAAGTGGTTTCGCGATGTGAACGTCCTTTGTATGCCTGTGTTCAGTGGTGAATTGGGAATTGGGAATTGGTGAATTGGAAAAACAAGCGAAATTACGAAATATGTAAAACTATTCCCAATGAAATGAAAGCAAAACATTTTTTGTTCAATAAATACATTATAAATATGTATCTAGCGATTGGAGACTATGTTTTCTTTCATCACAACAATTGCATGATATTTATCATTTTGACGTTCTCTTTTGACACTTATTCACGTGAAATAAACAAAAAAACAAAAAAAAAAATATATTTCACAATGTGACCGATAAAAATCTATGAATAAGAGCTCTGGGAAAAATAATTTTTTTTTTCATACAAAAAGAAACAAAGAAACAAATGACACCCTGAAAATGTATATGGAATTTAGGGAAGATTTTAGCACATCTCTGGAGCATTTGAAGGGAAAATGCACGGGTTATGGGGTTAAACATTTAACATAAGCACCTGTACTTATCGAGGTCTTTCGAGAGTTATTTTGGATTTTAGATCTATTGAAACGAAGAAACAATTTCCTTTTGATTAAACGCTGTTCACAGGGCAGTCCTTTCTCGAGTACTCGATGAAAGATTTTGTGATCTCCAACAAAGCTGGATCCTGAAAATTTGAAAATATCTATTAAAAATACCGTATTTTCTCTAATAGTAGTGAGCGTCGCCTAAATTCCTCGTAATCTCGAGAACCGCTTATCAGAACCTAGCGATGTGGGATCGGAAAATGTAGCTGACGATGAGATCTAGTGGGGGATTTGAGTGTTGAGTTTCTTGGGAAAGCTTGGAAACCGTAAAATAGTCATCAACTCGGCTCGGCGGGGTGCACTATAGCTCCAATCGATAGCTCCAATCGATTCGTCTACCCTGAATACCCCGGAAAATTTACAGCTCAAATATCTTTTTTTATAACACCAATAGTCAAGGACAGTGAAATGCTGCCACTTATCCCTCTGACTCATCGCAGAAAGTTTTTCTTTGAAATTTCGAAATCTCTAAATACCGTATTTTCTCTAATAGTAGTGCACCATGAGCGTCGCCTAAATTCCTCGAAACCTCGAGAACCGCTTATCAGAACCTATCGATGTGGGGTCGGAAAATGTAGCTGACGATGAGATCTTGTGAGGGATTTGAGTGTTGAGCTTCTGGGAAAACTTTGGAAGCCGTAAATAGTCACCAACTCGGCTCGCCGGGGTGCACTACTATTAGAGAGAATACGGTATTCAAAGTTGGGAAATTGAACACATTTAGTTACCGTATTTTCTCTAATAGTAGTGCACCAAAAGCTTTGTCTAAATTCCTCGAAACCTCGAGAACCGCTTATCAGAACCTATCGATGTGGGGTCGGAAAATGTAGCTGACGATGAGATCTAGTGGGGGATTAGAGGGTTGAGCTTCTGTGAAAACTTTGAAACCGTAAAATAGTCATCAACTCGGCTCGCCGGGGTGCACTACTATTAGAGAAAATATGTTTTTTTTCTGGATTTCTCATGTTTTCGTATCTTTCTTTACTTGCCTTGTAAAGTTGTAAAGTCGTAAAGTGGTATGAAAGCTCATAGAATATTAATTTATTGGTTTAGCCGGAAAATCTTGTCCACCTTTTTGAAAATTTTCTTTTATAAATGCCGATTAGCCGACAAATGTGTGGCTTGCTTTAAATAAAAAAGATTAACTCTTTCATTTAGCTCATTTTTAGGCTCAAATTTGAGTCCACTTTGAAGCAAATCCGAACGGGAATTCTTGTTTTTTTTAATAACATTTCACTAAACCGTTTTCATTCTATGTTCATTGTATGATTACATAGAATGAATATACAATACAATAGATACAATAGATAGATCACAATAGATCAATAGACATAGAATGAAAACGATTTGATGAAATGCGATGAAAATTTGTCTATCTGCTAAACTTCTCATTTTCTATCATTTGTCTTTTGACACTAAAAGAGGTTTCTGTGCCAAAAAACGTGCTCAAATCGAAACTTTAAAGTTTCATCGTTTTTAACTCTTCGACTTTACACCGTTAAAAGAAATTAACTAAAGCGAGTTTTTGAGAATTTTTTAAAGGGCAATTTGTAGATTTCGATCGACACGAATAATGAATTACAAAACAACGAAGGAAATTTTTACCCTTATTTATCCCTATTATCCAAATGTTGTTAAGAAAAAAAAACCCATAATGATGGGAAAAAAGAACCAATTTTTCTGGTAGCCGGGATCGAACCTTTGACCCGCCGACTAGGAGACAAGACTCCTATCCGGTCGGCTACGACAGCTGTACAAGACTCCTATCCGGTCGGCTACGACGGCTGTACAAGACTCCTATCCGGTCGGCTACGACGGCTGTACAAGACTCCTATCCGGTCGGCTACGACGGCTGTACAAGACTCCTATCCGGTCGGCTACGACGGCTGTACAAGACTCCTATCCGGTCGGCTACGACGGCTGTACAAGACTCCTATCCGGTCGGCTACAACGGCTCTATTTGTAAATAAATAATAGGATTTTCTGATATAACAAACCATAAATCGATTGGTTCATTATTCATTTCAAAAAGTGATCTTTAAATAAAGTGGACAAGACTTTCCGGCCAAGCTGATAGTTCAAAAATAAATGTAAACGAAAGGATTTTCATGAAGTCCACACATTCACGACGATACGGTACAAATGACGATGATTTTAAGAACTTTTGTTATTTATTTTGCAGAAAGTTCTTGGTAACTTTGCACTAGTTTTCAAGAGGAGATTTAGGGCTATCGAATGACTATAATAGTTTCATTTATCTTTGAATTTACGTCAAATTCTCAATAAAACAAGTAGACTACGCGGCTTTACGCTCAAAATACCAAAAAAATGTTTTAAATAAACCGTCACACTGTCCAGAGTCCTTTGTCGTCCATTTCTGCGTCGGTGAATCGGTGTCGATTCGACGATTCGTTCCTGAAAACTCTTGAATAGACGAGAGGTTTCACTTGAGAACAACTCAAACACAAAGTTGAACATTCTATAGCAACAGTTATGGACTTGAATTACTAAAATTCTAATAGAAGAGTTGGAACTAGGGGAGATCAAAAACTTGTGCACTATCGGCACTCCAACCCGCGACCTTTCGTTTACCGGGCAAACCTGCTAACCACTACACCACAACGCACCTGATCTCCTTTACTCCAGAGAGAGTTAAGTGAAACCCCTATAGGAGCGCCGCATCGTCTCAAAGTTTACTCTCAAACAAACGCTCATATCTTGACATCAGTACGTTTATTTCTGCGCGCTTTGGTAGCAAATTAAAGTAGAGAAGATGCGTGATTTTTTGAGATATAACACATATTTATTTTTCACGCTTTTATTAGAGTATTTACGGTAGTTTACTATTTTATCAGTTTTTCTCCAACCTCTAATTCATACATTGGATCACAGTTGAGGCCCTCTTTACAGGGAACAAACACCGGTGCGGCTCGTCTAAACTTTTCAGTTTCTTCATAGTATTCATTTTTAAAACCTGCTGAACACCCAGGCGAAATCGATTCTTGCCGTGTATGGATGCATCTTGATACAAGCCAAATTATGCATTCTCCGTTGACTGAAATTCAACATTTCAAATGAAAAGTCCTAGTTTCTGGATTTCGGAAATTGAAAGTGAAACTGAACGGGTCAATGGAGAGAAGTTGTGAGAGAAATGAGAGAAGATCGGTTGGCCAATGAGCTGGATAGGCGACAGTGGTTTCTCGGAGAATCAATAAAGCCTAGAGACATTGAATCAAAGTCAATCAAATCAAATCAATATGGAAACAAACTGAAAGCACACCTGCTCAGCGAGTTGAGCACCGCCGAGCTCGTAAGGAGTCCTACCGCGAAGCATCTCAAAGAAAGTCACTCCAAGCGACCACCAATCAACCCTTTCATCGTAACTGAATATTTTCTTAGAAAAATAGATTTTCAGCTTTGAAACAAACCCTGGTATTAGCGTTAAAGAGCTTTCGAAAATCTCCGGTGCCATGTAAGGACGAGTGCCTTGATTTTAAAGAGTAATGTCTTTACAAGAGATTTCGCTTACCAGAGAATGAGGTCGCTTTCTCGCCGGAGATTAAATGAGTAGCCAAATTGAAATCGGTAAGATGCGCATGGCCTTGCTCATCAAGTAGAATGTTTTCTGGCTTAATATCACTGAATTTGCGATGTATTCAGAAGTTTACAAAAGGCAAACCGATGAACAATGCCCTGCTCGTGAAGGTATTCAATGGCTAGAGCCAATTCGCAAATGTAGAGTTTTGATCTGAGCGTTTTTTTTGTTGTTGCTGAAAATTTACCGCTTCGACTTACCGATCTTCAGCGAAACGACCCTGTTGATTTAAATGGAAACGAAGATCCCCACCGAGTAACAAGTCCGAAACCATGTACATGTAAGAGGCATCCTAGAGGAATCAGTTTGAACATTTGATATTTGATTTTCTTTTCCATATCCGAATAATTTCTTTTTGATCTGTCTTCGCACTTAGGTGTTCCTATTTTGCGCAGATCACAACCTGCTTCCACATTTCTCTATCCCTTGCTATTGTCATCCAATGTTTCCTATCTTGTTTGTTTCTGGTTCGAAGTCTTCGACTTGCTTGTGCTGGTGGTGGTTGCACTCTAGCCATCCTTTCTCTGACCGTCTCTGCCACTCTTGTGCTCCACCTCGTTGCTGGTCTTCCGAGGGGCCTCTTCTGGTCTCGTGACAGCCACTCTGTTGCCGTATCGTCCATCTGTTGTCTGTTCTTCTGGCTACGTGGCCGGCCCATCTGAGTCTTTTTCTCTCGATCACTTCCACTGGATCTCTGAGTTCCGAGAGCCGGCGCATATCCGTACTTCTTAGCCAAGTTATCCGGATAATATTTTATTGTTCTTGTATTTTGTATGGATTAGAATGTTATTAAACACTAGATCTGGGAAAATTCTAATCCGAATCTAATTTCACCTTTGTTTTCGGCTGTTTCTTGGTCGATTCTTTTGAAAGCCAAGTTATCTACATACTATAAATGTCGATTTCTAGTTGTAGACAAAAGAGCAATCGGCCAAGAAAACAAAAGTGGAATTAGGTTCAACTTGGAATTTTTTCTATGGCTCGTAGATACGTCAAAATTTCACTGGTGCTAGGATTTAAACTTTTGTTTTCTGAAAAAACGGAATTTTCTTCTAAAAACTCACTTGAAACGTGTACCAGAGATTGACGATAAATGGATGTGAAATCTTGGTGAGAATTCGGAGCTCACGAATCACATTCGGCGCTACGCCTTTCTCGATGCACCGTCGCTTGCTCATATACTTGAGAGCGTAGTAATTCTTGGAAATTCGATCTTGCACAATGCACACCTAAAAATGTGCTTGATTTTCGAAGGAATTCTGCTTTTAAACCTTTCCAAAAGCTCCTCGACCAATGCTGCGAATCACGGAGAAATTATCGATAGACGGAGGCGAGTTGTTGGTTTGGCGTCTCGAGCACAGACCTGAAATTTGACTTTGTTTTTTCGTATGAATTTGTTAGTTTTTTTTGAATATTTTGTATATTAATGCTTAGTTAATAACTGGTGCATTAGTGTGAAAAAAGAAAACGAAAAACTGCTTGAAGAAAAAAAAAACAAATGATAACAAAAAAACAAATGATACAAACCGCCCATCCATCCGCGCCCAGTCCTCTCCAATGAGCACGTTGATTAATCTTTCACCATCTCATCATTCTAAAGTTAGATAAAAATATTTTAGAAAGATTTAAAATTTTAAAACATTTAATCGAATTTTTTCTTTGAAAGTAGAGACCGAAGAAAATGGGAATTCAAAAAGGAAAGAAAACAAGAGTGAAAGAAAAGAAAGAAGGAAAGAAAGAAAGAAAGAAAGAAAGAAGGAAAGAAAGAAAGAAAGAAGGAAAGAAAGGAAGAAGGAAAGAAAGAAAAGAAGACAGACTCGTCCCTTCAATTAGTACTACTGATGTTAGACAGCGGATATCAAAAGCCCATCAGTGACATTCAAAAATAAAAAGGATTTTAAAATTAGAAATATTAAGCACGAAAGGAGGATGTTTATGTAAAAAAAGCAAAAAGGTAGAAAAGAGAAAAGTGGGAGCATTCATTGGAGGGAGGGGCTGGGAGGGAGGCCCGCGGCGGCTCCTCGCGAGGATAATGTGGCCGTCTCTCGCTGTGCTCGGCGAGTTTCCGATCCCTCTCCTCGCCTCTCTCTCTCTTCTTTCATTCTTTGTCTCTCTCGTTTCCCACCCCCGGCCTTTTCCTCCTTTTCTTTCATACTCTTTTTCCCCCTCCCGATGACTCGATTCTTGCTTTTAACACTCTTCGCCTCCATCATCTCTTCATCTCACCCTTCGTGCGTCAAAACATTATACCTTCAATGGGTCTTCATCCCCTTTCTCCCCCATTCCTTCAATCGAGCAAATGCATCACTGAAATTTGATTTATTGCCTACATTCCAGGCTATAGCGCTGTTTGCTCGTTTTTCTCGATTAGTAACAAAGGAAGACGATTGAAAAGGAAAAGATTATCCAGGGTGACCAAGAATTACCGCAACACACAAAAGGCCTGGCTTTTAACCAATGCAACCCATCTCTTTTAACCAATGCAACCCATGCAACCAATGCAACCAATGCAACCCATCTCTTTTAATCAATGCAACCAATGCAACCAATGCAACCCATCTCTTTTAACCAATGCAACCCATGCAACCAATGCAACCAATGCAACCCATCTCTTTTAACCAATGCAACCAATGCAACCAATGCAACCCTATCCAACCAATCTCGAAAAGTTAACTTAAATATCTTTATTCAACATATCACAGTAACAAATTAATAATTAAACTCAAATTTACCTCCATCGGCATTCAGACACGCCTGCAAACGTTTGGGAAACGCGTTGACCGTGGCGAGCAAATAGGCATCATCGAGGGTATCCCATGCTTTGATGAGCACCTCTTCCAGGGCGATCAGAAACTATACCCAGAGTTTCATAACGTTGAATGGTTCGAGAAACGAGGCTTCTGGGGACATTCAGGCGCTTTGAGATCTTGCTCGCCTGAACACGCTGCCGCTTGAGCTCAAGGATCGATTGTCGATGTGGAGACGCTTTCACCATTCCTGAAAACAACCATACCAATGTATTGAAAGTTAGTAATTATAACATAAACTAAGAAAAATACACAAAAACCATAAAAATAGGTAAGCAAAAAGTGAAATGGGGCTCATAACATAATACGACGCGTCGTATTATGTTATCTTCACAACATCGCGACGTTGTTGCGGTAATTCTTGGTCACCCTGTAGGCCTGTAAATTTATGTCTTTGTGATAAACCTGAAAACGAAAGCTAGAAGAAAATGGTGAGAAGCTGATGCTGAGTTAATTACGATGAAAAGTCTTTGAAGAAAGCAAAAAAAAATGTTTGCCGATGAGCTCGCATTCTAAGCATATTGAAAAGGTTTATTTGCGGATTTGAAAACTGAAAGCTGAAATAGAAAAGATTTAGATTAAGAATGTTCATTCATTTTTAAGAATTGTGAATCTCATTTGAGTATATAAAACTCTAAAACTCTACAATCTTTAGATTCATCTCTTACTTTAGATTCATCTTTCAATTTCCCTTCCGATTTTTGAGCACTACTAAAAAAGATTTGGAAAGAGCAAATGAGAGATCATCCATCAAACAAGAAAAGGTTTCAGATTCGAAAATTTTGTGAAAAGAAAAAGAAGAAGAAGAAGAAAAGGAATTGCGGGAAGACGTAGGTGTTCGTTGAGGAGAGGTGAAGGCTCTTGAGTCACTCTCGAGACCGCCACTCCTTCTTCCAATCCACCGGTCGCTTTCAGTCACCGATTCTCCCACGCCTCCCCTTTTTTCTCATTGTACCATTGTACCATACCTTCGCTGTACATATGTCTTTTTGATATTTTTTGTTAGCTTATCACTGGTTGAAACTCTCTAGATCAGTTATTCTGAAGTACTGTACTGATCGTAGGCACTGATTCTAGAATATTCTAGAATTCCTATTGATATCGAATTTTTGAACTGACACTTTGTTCAAGTAAGTCCAAGTATTCTAGAGTTCAAGTAAGTCCGAGTATTCTATAGTTCAAGTAAGTCCACGTATCCAAGAGTTCAAGTAAGTCCAAGTATCCAAGAGTTCAAGTAAGTCCAAGTATCCAAGAGTTCAAGTAAGTCCAAGTATCCAAGAGTTCAAGTAAGTCCAAGTATCCAAGAGTTCAAGTAAGTCCAAGTCCAAATGTCCATTGATGTCAGCTAACGGAAAAGAACTTTCTGAAAAATCTCAAAAGTTTGAGAAAATCGATTTGAAAATCGATTTGAAAACCGATTTTGCATACAATTCTAAAATGAATCTGACTAGTTTAAGAATAAAATAGATCTAGAATAGAGTTTAAATCTTTTAAGAAACAATTATTCACTTTTTCGGGAATCCTCTAGCAATTGTTGAAGAAAGCGATGACGATTGGTCACTGCACTTTGCGCCCCTTTCACTTCAGTTTCTATATAGATCGAAATTCGTCGGCGTCGAAATTAGCACCCATCTTTTGTGTACGATTGAAAAAAAGGCCTTTTCTCGATCTCCATCCCTCCAATAATAACTTAATAATTTATTCATTCATTTTTCTCATAAATTCATCACTCTTTAAACGTCAAACAAGTGTTCTCCAAATTATTTTTTTAAAAAAATGATTTTGTTCGGATAATTTAGCTATTAAATACTTGTATTTACTTTAAATTAATACTATAAATTTTAAATTTTCGATCCCGGCGGCTAGAAACATTGCTTCTTTTTCCCATTATTATGGGTTTTTTCTTAACAACATTTGGGTAATAGGGATAAATAAGGGTAAAAATTTCCTCCGTTGTTTTGTAATTCGATTTATGTAACCAATCGATTTATGGTTTGTTATATCAGAAAATCCTATTATTTACTTACAAATAGAGCCGTCGTAGCCGACCGGATAGGAGTCTTGTACAGCCGTCGTAGCCGACCGGATAGGAGTCTTGTACAGCCGTCGTAGCCGACCGGATAGGAGTCTTGTACAGCCGTCGTATCCGACCGGATAGGAGTCTTGTACAGCCGTCGTAGCCGACCGGATAGGAGTCTTGTACAGCCGTCGTAGCCGACCGGATAGGAGTCTTGTCTCCTAGTCGGCGGGTCAAAAGTTCGATCCCGGCTACCAGAAAAATTGCTTCTTTTTCCCATTATTATGGGTTTTTCCTTAACAACATTTGGGTAATAGGGGTAATTAGGGATAAAGGTTTCCTCCGTTGTTTTTTAATTCATTATTCGTGTCGAATAAATATACTATACTATAATTGTATTTATAAATGTTTCAAAAAAAATTAATAATAATGAACGGGGATCGAAAGAAAAAGAAAAATGTAGTGCATAAAATCTATGAAACATTTGATCTATTCATTTCAATTTTAATCTAAAACTTTCAATCAAATTTTTTTTCTTTTTGCTCTCAAAACCCACTTTTTCCCAGTAAACACCAATAGTCAAGGACAGTGAAATGTGGCCACTTATTCCTCTGACTCATCGCAGAAAGTTTTTCTTTCAAATTTCGAAATCTCTAAATACCGAAATCTCTAAATTTTCTCTAATAGTAGTGCACCGTGAGCGTCGCCTAAATTGCTCGAAATCTCGAAAACCGCTTATCAGAACCTATTGATGCGGGGTCGGAAAATGTAGCTGACGATGAGATCTAGTTGGGGATTTGAGTGTTGAGTTTCTTGGGAAAGCTTGGAAACCGTAAAATAGTCATCAACTCGGCTCCAATCGATTCGCCTATAGCTCCAATCGATAGCTCCAATCGATTCGCCTACCCTGAGTACCCTCGGAAAATTTACAGCTCAAATATCTTCTTATTATAACATCTAAAATGCCTGTAAATGACTGTAAACTGTTCTTTGTGCGGCTGCGTGCTCGCCGTCTGGCAAACCGTTCCGGCATAAATCCCTGAATTCCAGCAATCTTCTTTTATCTTCTGTAATAGCTTGGAAACCGTAAAATAGTCATCAACTCAGCTCGCTGGGGTGCACTACTATTAGAGAAAATACGGTAATTCAAGTGTTAAAACTTAAACTCTCTACTTTACAATGTTAAAAATCCCCTTGATTCCCTTGATGTTAGAATTGACATTAGAACTCCCTGGATTCTCTTTAAAAGCTAAAAGCTAAAAGAATCTATGTATTCTGGTAAAGTCAAAAGTCTAATTGAAAGAAGAGCTTGAATTTATGTTTGTCAATTTTTCTTGTCCTCTCCGAGCGAAAGGCTTTTGAAAATCTCAAGGGGATCCCCACTTTACCCCTTTTCAAGTCAACCGAAATATTGAATTGGTGAATTGAAAATTGCCGGACTTTGAACTAAAATTTATTCAACATGAAACGATGAATTCATTCGAAATAATTTCCATTATTATTGACAACTTGTGCCCATTTTACAGGCAATTTGCGGGGTTACAGCCATCCTCTTTCGTAGTAGGATTTTGGTTTGTGTGTGAGACAAGTGTGAGACTCAAAAATCGAGGACTGGAGATGTCCCAGTTTGAGCATTTGAGCATTTGAGCACTTTCTTCAAAAGAAACCCATTTTGGTGTCAATAGAAAAGTTGTAGAGAATCAAAAATCAAGCTTATAGCCAAATTTCCAAAAAGACACACTTAGTATTTTCGCTTAAAATGCAAGTTTTATGAAAATTCGTAAATTTGGCATTTCTTGAAAACCAGCTTTTGAATCGTTCTGAAAATTTGGATATAAGCTTGATTTTTGATTCTCTACAACTTTTCCATTGACACCAAAATGGGTTTCTTTTGAAGAAAGTGCTCAAACTGTCACATATGACAATAGCCGGCAGTTTTCAATTCACCAACCCAATAGTTCTCATCCAAAATATTAATACTATTTATTTTTATCTAATGATCAACGCTTTTATTCATGTTTTAGTGTTTCAAAGATTTCCCATCTCCATCTTTCTCTCAAAAACGAATTATGTAGCTAGGCTTCTTCTTGAAATTGAGCTTTAACTTGAGCTTGAAATTGAGCTTGAAATTGAGCTTTAACTTGAGCTTGAAATTGAGCTTGAAATTGAGCTTGAAATTGAGCTTGAAATTGAGCTTGAAATTGAGCTTTAACTTGAGCTTGAAATTGAGCTTGAAATTGAGCTTTAACTTTCTTGGCTCTTCGCTTTCTTGGCTATTAAAGGGATAATAATTTGATATTGTTTTTTTTGATAATTCCCATTTTATTGAAACAATTCCTCTTCTTTGGAACCTTTATTTTACGGAATGTAGAGATGTTTTTGAAGTCACCCACACAACCATTTCATCTTTTTTTTTTTTGTTTGTGTGTCTCGAGTGAAATGTGATATTCGAGTCGCGAGTTGTCCATCTTCACCCGGTGGGGTCCTTTCACAAATCTTTTCCCCTCTATATCTCTTTCCCTTTTTTCTCAATTCACGAAAAAGTGTCCCCATTTCCCCCCTTTCAATCTCTTCCCCTCTGGCGGTCACTTCAAACGAAATTCATCTCTGAAACTAACTAAACCTTGATCTTTCAAATACACAGGATTTTTTTTCTTGAAGTATTTCTCTAACTAGGAAAGAGTACTAGATCATTGTGGGATTTCAAAACAACGAGATCTAGCCCATCCGATAGAAAATCCCGAAACAGTTTTTCAAGTGACGGATTCGAACTCACTACAAGAATTCGATTCGTTCCATAGACAAGCAAACTATCCACTACACCACCGCCGACACTGAAAGATGACCGCCATAAGCGTAAACTCAGCTCAAAAGTTTATAGCAAAAACTTTGACGAGAAATCTCGCATTTACGAGCTATTCAGCAGATTTTGATTATAAATTCGATTTTCTATCAAATGGACTAAGTCTCGTTTAGAAATCACACAATACTCTTCTCTAGTTAAATCTTGAAATCAGTTGAATGTGGCTTACAAGTCAGCTAAGCTTACATTTGGCTAAGCTTACATTTGGCTAAGCTTACATTTGGCTAAGCTTACATTTGGCTAAGCTTACATTTGGCTAAGCTTACATTTGGCTAAGCTTACATTTGGCTAAGCAAAGCAAATCTAAATTCTCTCAACGCTCTCGTAAAGTCGACAAAATGGGATGAGAAGCAAGGATAACAAAAGAAACTTTGGGAAAGAGTGGATAAAAAAAAGAGGGAGATCAAAGACACACCAGTCACTCATAGACGATCTTGAATCTTTCTACTCAAGAGCGGACAAGTGAAGACACGTGGCGCTGCTCTCGTTTTTATCGTGGCCCACTGGCCCGCTTCATTCCGAAATCGAAAAACACTAATCTTGTGGTTTGTGAGTTTGAAATTTTATTTTCTTCACTTTACTGAACACCTTAGTACTTCACTTTACTGAACACCTCTTTTACTTTAGTAAGCTTTCAAACTCGAACTTCCAATCTCAGTGTTCGATTAGAGAATTCACTCCACGAAAAAAAAATGTTTATCAAATTGTTTAAACGATTAAATTGTTAGTGAGCACTTCTCTCAATTGCCTAGACAGATTAAACAGCTTCCAGCTTCCAGTTCTTTTTCTAAAATGTATTCAGTGTTCAGCTAGATTTGCAAGCTTTCCGCAAAGGCGAGTTTATGAAATTTGTGAGGGATTCTGCCTTTTCCTCATCTTTTTTTCCGAAATTCTTCCAAACTCAGAGCGTTCCTTTTTTTAGAAAATTTGCACACTATTTCTTTTTATCAATGTTATTTCCTTTTTCTTTTTTGCTTTAAACTTTGAAAGTTTTTCAATAAAAGTTGCTTGATTGACTGTAGTTAGGACTGTAGTTTGACTGTAGTTTGACTGTAGTTTTTAAGTTAAGAATGGTGACGTGGGTTATCCATGAGTTCACGTGATAAACAGAAAAAAAAACTATCAAAAAACGAGAAGATCTTCATCACAAAGTGTTTCAAAGAAGCGAAAAGAAAAAGAGAAGCAACTGTTGTTTTCTGAAGTGTTGAGGAGGTTGAAGGATAGATCAATGGAGAAAGGAGGGAAACGGGGAAACGATCGAAAGGGGGATGGATCATCAGTGACGCCTTAGGGGAAACCTCGTCCACCCAAAGCCACCTGACTCTTTTCTCCAATATTTTTCTTATCTCTTGATGATTCTCCTTTGGTTATCCACCACCTTTTCCTTTTTTCTTTAACTCAATCTCGGCACTGTGTACGAGAACGCTTTACTCGTCTGCTTTATTATTTTCTTTGATTGATTTTATGGAAATTGAGGAGACTTTTTGATCTTTCTATTGAATTTAATGAATTTAATGAATTTAATCAACTGAATCAATTGAATCAATTGAAATATTACAAACAAAACCTTTAAAGGCTCTGGAGATCAAAGCCTTTTGTTAAAAGCCTTTTCTTAAGGCTATAAGTTTGCTGAAGATCGTCTATTCTACGTTTATTCACTAAGATTCAATGACAATTAAGCTGATTACATCAGTGAGAGCTTTTTTGTTAGAAAGCGAAGATAGGCCATTTGTCGTGGTCTTTTCTTTCACACCTAGATGGAAAAGGAGTCGGTCACTCTCTCGGGCCTTCCCAATGGTCGCTAGCTCGTTTATTACCGAGAGCACAGAGAGAATGGTTGGACGGGATCTCCTCTCGTTTCTCTTTCATCTTTTTTTTTTCAAGCAGGAAGTCTTTGTAGTCGATTTCTTTTAAAATCTTTCAATTCAATCTTGTTTTCAAAGCTCTCCAATTGTTTTCAAACTTTTGATCTTGCTAGAGCTTTTTTTTTGGCTTAGATTTAGAGTGGAAGAATTTATGATCAAAGCTATTTAAAGAAGTTGATGATCAGGTTCTTAAGTTGATGATCAAGCTATTTAAAGAAGTTGATGATCAAGTTCTTAAGTTGATGATCAAGTTATTAAGTTGATGATCAAGTCCTTAAGGTTATGATCAAGTTCTTAAGTTGATGATCAGGTTCATAAGTTGATGATCAAGTTATTAAGTTGATGATCAAGTTCTTAAGTTGATGATCAAGTTCTTAAGTTGATGATCAAGTTGATGACCAAAGCTATTTAAAATCCTTGCTAATAATTCAATTGCTAACTTTAAAAGAATACAATCCTGTTCTTCTTTGGACTTTCTTGTTATTAAATTCTTGTTATTTTAAATTCTTTAAGCTGTGAGAAAATCTTTTTACTTCTTTTTAATTCTGATTATTATTTATCTTGCTCAGAAAGAAATGAATGAATGATGTTGGGATCAGCGGTGAGTGCTGGCGGCAGTGCCATTGGTCCGTCCACTTCTTCTGCATATTCCACATGGTTTGTGTGAAATTTAAAACAAAATAGAATCTAATCCTTTCATTATTCTTTTTGTTACTTTTATTTTCTTCTAGGTATGATGAAGCGATTTTTGTACCACGAAATATTCGAGCTACTCGTGTTCTTCCTCCAAAAACTTTGCCTGAGGTAGGGTTTTAAAAAGATATAATAATATTAATAATAAGAATAATAATAATACATTTTAAAAACTGCTTAAACTTTAAAAATCATAAATGTATTCTTTAGGAATTCGAGCAAAGGCAAATCAATCGAGTAACTTTTTGGAAAAGTGAGCCAACGACGACGATCAAGCCACATGTATCTAGATCAAGGCTGCTTGATAGAAGGTAAAGAAAAAAAGAGAAAAAGATTTGGAAATACCGTATTTCTTCGAATAGAAGACCGGGTAAAGAGCATCATCGCGTACTCCTGCGTAGCAGCCCTTTTTAAAATTTTTTTTCTGCATAAAAGCTTTCAATCAAGTGTTATAGGGCTGGAAAATGACTCAAAAATCTGTTAGCTCATGTGGTATTTTTGAGCCATTTTCCAGCTCTATAGCACTTGATTGAAAGCTTTTTTGCAGAAAAGAAATTTTAAAAAGGGCTGCTACGCTGGAGTACGCGATCATACTCTTTACCCGGTCTTCTATTCGAAGAAATACGGTATTTAAGATAAAGATAATATTAAACACATTTAAAAGAAATATGATCTAAATTTGATCGTTTTGATTAATTTGTAGAACGGAGACAAGGATAGGCACCAATTCGACATCAAAGACAGATCTTCCAGAAAGTTTTCCTCTTCAAGAAATCGATGAGTCTTCTGTTCACAGGTCATAAAAAAAACAAGCAAACAAATTATTATTAGAAGATCAACTTTCTGTCGTAAAAACTACCGTAATCTTGTTTCCGATTTTGTCATAAATTGGACTATTTTGTTGAAGAAGTAAAAGAAAGCGAATAGAAAACTTGCAGTCATTACGATTAGAGTGTGTTCCCCACGAGTAATGCGTTTTTTTAAAACGTACACTTAGGAAAAATTACCGTACTTTTAGTGAAAATTATGGGGGTGGGACAAATGCGACCTTTTTTTGCTGGAAAAGGCTGTAGAGCTTCGAAAATCTTTCCATGTAAGGGAATCGTATGCGTAGATTCCGAATTTCGACAAATCAGACCTCGCTGACACGTCAAATTTGGGCTAAAAGGCAACAACTGTGGAAAAGCGTTAAGTTGCGTAGTTTTTGCCTTTTAGCCCAAATTTGGCGTGTCAGCGAGATCTGATTTGTCGAAATTCGGAATCTACGCATACGATTCCCTTACATGGAAATATTTTCGAAGCTCTACGGCCTTGCCTAAGGCCTTTTCCAGCAAAAAAAAGGTGCGCAAATGTCCAGGTGCGCAAAAAAAAGGTCGCATTTGTCCCACCCCCAAAATTATTGCAAAAAATTGGCGCAAAAAATCACGAGCGAGTTATATACGACTCTTTTTAAAGATATTCAGCCGTTTAACTGATTTGGTGGGAAATTCCCTTCACAAGTAAAGATATTCAATTTACTCGACGTGTAAAGAGGATTTGCTCGTAGTTACTTGACGTGTAAAGAGGATTTGCTCGTAGTTACTCAACCAAAAACGTCGATTAATCGAGTAAAAATTACTTATGCAAATTTTACTCGAGTAATTACTTACTTACTCGCGAGGAACACACTCTAATTACGATAGTTCTTAAAAGTTTAGAGATTCATTTAGAAAAGGTTTTTTTAAAAAAAAAGAGATTAAATTGAGAAATCCTTTAATTCTAAACAAAAAAAACCCCCCGAAATCTTTAAATTCAAAATGTTTTTACTTTAGCCCAGAACTAGCAGCAACATGTGCAACGTATGCTCAAACAATATCCTCCACAAATAGCTATGGAGCTTTTCGAATGTCTGATGGCAAATTGTAAGCCTTTTTAATAAAATCGAGTTTTTAAACACTAGAAAATAGAAATAGCTTTTTTTAAATTTCTTACAAATAAACTCTAGATCAAATCACACAATGCGTCGTGGGGCGTTGTTTTGTCGGAGTGGAACTTGGTTGGAGGTGAGGATAAAGTTGTTTTGCGTCAAAATACATTAGCAGATAAGCATTGAAATCTAATTTATTGAATCCAAAAAATCTAAAAAATTATTGCAAAAAAAATGACGCAAAAGTGACGAGTCCCCGGATTATATACGACTCTTTTTAAAGATATTCAGCTGTTTAACTGATTTGGTGGGAAATTCCCTTCACAAATAAAGATATGCAATTTACTCGACGTGTAAAGAGGATTACTCGTAGTTACTCGTTACATTTTACTTTTGTCGGAGCGGAACTTGGTTGGAGGTGAGGATAAAGTTGTTTTGCGTCAAAATACATTAGCAGATAAGCATTGAAATCTAATTTATTATTATATAATCAATAAACTATCAATAAACTATCAATAAACTATCGATAAAATATAGATAGATACTTTATTCAGGACCTGAGTGCGCTAGTAATTTAAAGTGCGCTAGTAATTTAAAGTGCGCTAGATTTAAGATTAAAACACATGAATTCATACACATAACACGAAAAGGGCCGATAAAAAGAAACACGATATAATATATGTAAAAAGTGGGTAGCACAGATAATGTCAAGGATCCACTAGAGCTTCAAGATCAAATATCAATAAAATATCAATAAACTATCAATAAACTATCAATAAACTATCAATAAACTATCAATATAAACAAATGAATTTAGATTTTGGATGAAAAGGAGTCAAGGCGAAGACACCGACACAGAAATCCCGAGCTCGTCCGGGGGAACACTCACACTCGCTCGGAATTCAGTTGGTTTTGAAAAGCTTTCGATTTTAAGATTTATAAAAACATTCGAATATGATTACTAGATTAATAAGATATTATATTTTTATTTATCAAATCTTTAGGCATTTTGAATTTCATCTCAGTCGCTTTCGGTTTGGTGTCGATACGGGGAGAGAAATCGGATCGATTCCTCTGCATGGACGAGCAAAGTCGTTTATATGCTGCGGTAAGAATTGCAATTTATAAGATAATCATCATTTTAAAGATTAAGATATTATTAAAGATATTATTTAATGAAAACATTGTAAAGCTCAATGATTCGACCGACCCAGTGAGGCTGAAATAGTCTTGAAAAAGACTTTAGAAACTGTGTTTAGATCGAATTCATAAAGTGATTTGATTTAAAAGATAAAATCTTCTTTTCAGCATCCAAGCAACTACTCGGCAGAGTGCGTTTTTTTAGAAGAAATGCTCGAGAATTACTATAATCTTTATTCCTCTTGTGCTCATTTTCCTGATCCAAATGATAAAACTTTCAAACCGTGGTATGTGGCGATACGAAAAGATGGTGAGTTTACGGAAAAAAGACATACCGTAAATACTGTAATAGTACCCCACCCCGATAATGACGGTGCGGAGTGTTGCGTAGTCTAGCTTTGAAAGAGTGTTTCTCCACACTGGTTTATGCTACAATGGCATCAAAAAAAATAGCTGAAATTGCGAGCTATTTTTTGATATCAAAATTTGCATAGATTTCTTCAAATACTGTAACCTTTTTCTATGATTTATCGTAATTTTTGAGCTAAGCGTAAGCTTTAAAACAACTGTTTCTTGCCGTAAATACTGTAATAGTACCCCACCCCGATAATGACGGTGCGGAGCGTTGCATAGTCTAGCTTTGAACGAGTGTTTCTCCACACTGGTTTATGCTACAATGCGCGCTTAGGTATCAAAAAATAGCCCTGAATTTCAGCTATTTTTTGATACCTAAGCGCGCATTGTAGCATAAACCAGTGTGGAGAAACACTCGTTCAAAGCTAGACTATGCAACGCTCCGCACCGTCATTATGGGGGTGGGGTACTATTACAGTATTTACGGTAATAGCTTTACTGTAATAGCTTTACTGCTATAATTACTTTAAAGTTCTAGATTGAATATCTTTAGACAAGTTATCGGACATTTAATGACTCTTTTCTATTGACAAACTAACTTTAAGCTCAAATATCTTGGTGTTGAGCTGTTCAATTTAAACATTCTTTGTATCATTGGATGCGCCAAATCTTTCTCTTTTGATTGGTACAAAAACTATTTACATTGGACAGCTCAACACCAAGAAATTTGAGCTTAAAGTTGGATGGCTAATGGGAAAGGGGAGGGCACGTATAAAATGTTCTTTTAGATGTCTAAAGAATTCTTTAGATATGCTGTAAATATAATGAGTTAGAGAATGGGAACTTACAGTATTTCTAATAATGATTACAATAAGCTTAAAGTTTGATTTAAGCTGATTTCAGGTCGTCCACGGCGCGGAAGACATTCAAGAAAACGGCGTCGATCCTCACATTTTCTCGTCATTCACTTTGACGTCGCCGATCCTTTACCGGTGAATGTGGATGTGACGAGGTGGGCTTCACGGTCAGCATTACCTTGCTTCAGTCTTCAATCTTTAAACTCTTCTTTGAGGAGAACAGTGTTAAGCAATCTGACAGTTTGTACTTGCTCGTATCTCAGATTGATATTATAGATTGAGATTATAGATTGAGATTATAGATTGATATGATAGATTTAGAGAGTTAATTTTTTTTGTTTAGAGTAGTCTCCAGCTCGATCAGACACTCATCTCGAGGCAATGAGATTGATGAGAGGAAATGGTTCTCACCCGCCGTTCCACCACCACCAACTGTGCCCACGGTGCTGATTCTCATTCTATCCTTTTCATTAATGATTCAGAATCTTCAAACCGATTATCTATCTCAATTAAAAGATGAGAAGCCAAAGAAGAAAAAGCGTAGAAAAGAGGAACGGTTGCGGAAAGAAAAAGAAGAACGAGAGAAGCGAGCGAAAGAAATTGAAGAGAAACGGTTGGGAGAAGTGGTAAGTGAAGAGAAGCTCGGGATTTGTATGAAATGTTTTAGGAAAAGCAGAGAGAACAACAAGAAGAAGTGGAAAGAAAAAGGATGGCCCAGAAAATGCAACAATGGGGCGGTGGAGGGTATTCGAGATTTCGCGGGAGCAATCACCAATCACAACGACGAACTCCGGAGCCACCATTGAATACCCGCCATGAGCCCGGGGCGGCAAATTCTCAATCGAAAACTTATTTCACATATTCTAGTGGTTGATTGACGTATTCACTAATCAATCAACAACTAGAATACCTATAATAGCTGAATTCTTTGGATTGTTTAGGATTCTGTCAAATTTCTAGTCTACTTTACTTCGAATTGCCTTGAACCCAAACCAGTTTAAAGATAAGTTACTATTATTTTCATAAAGAAAACGATAGCTTACTTCAAGCACCTTTTAGAAAAGATTTCTAATTATAAAGAGTAGAGTGTGTTCCTCGCGAGTAAGTAATTTAGTAATTAAACTCGAGTAAATTTGCATGAGTAATTTTTTTACTCGAGTAATAAGCTCCAGTAATTGTCGAGTAATGCGTTTTTCTAAAAAAAGTAATTTCTAAAAAGTGCGCCTGCCCGAAAAAAATATAAAAGCAATTTTTTGCGCAGGTTTTTCAGAAAAAAAAAAATCATTTTTTTACATTGGAAGGGAATTTCCCCACCAAATCAGTTAAACGGCTGAGTATCTTTAAAAAGTGTCATATATAATGCGGGGACTCGTCACTTTTGCGTCATTTTTTTGCAATAATTTTTACGCCAATTTTTTGCAATAATTTTTGCTAAAAGTACGGTAATTTTTTTCTCAAGTGTACGTTTTAAAAAACGCATTACTCGCGAGGAATACACTCTAATAAAGAGCACAAATCGATCTTGAAATTCTTTCAAATAACAGATCAAGACTTTTGCTCTTAAATAAGCCTTGATAGCGTTTTTTTTTACTTATTTCTTTTCCAATGATCTTATGCATTTGAGTCTCTAAAAAAGTTACCGTAAATACTGTAATAGTACCCCACCCCCCATAATGACGGTGCGGAGTGTTGCGTAGTCTAGCTTTGAACGAGTTTTTCTCGACACTGGTTTATGCTAAAGTGCGCGCTTAGGTATCAAAAAATAGCCTTGAATTTCAGCTATTTTTTGATACCAAAGACGCTTTTTTTGAAAGTACGGGCGCTTTGAAAAAAATGAAACACTAAAAAACTTTTGCGACTACGCGACTGTACGAGGGCGGTGGGGTACTATTACAGTATTTACGGTAGCTTTAATTTGTTTTCTTTCTTTTGTATTAAGCTGCTCAGAAAGTCGTTTTTGGTTTCTTTTCAACTTTTCGTTTAAAATCAACAAATTCACCAGTTTATTTATGGTTTATTTCATCGAAAAAAAACCATTTATTTTTCTGTTAAATACGATTAAAAACGGTTTTTAAATGTCTTAAGTCTGGGTGTTTTTTTCGAAGCATAAAGGCAAGTAGTCAAAAAATAGCTTGACTATATGAAACAGCTTGACTTTTTAACAAACTTTCTGTGATCTCCGATGAAAAACGTGCATTTCAAATGTGTTTTTTTTGTTTGTTTTTTTGTTTTTTTGTTTTGTTTTTTTTTCTCTTTTTCTTTATAGAAAACTTCTTTGTCTTAATGTTTTTAATATTGTAAAGATTGAAAAAACTTTTTAATCAACAATTTTTACAGAAAAGAATTGATACAGGAAAGATTAGAAATCTTTCAATCTTTCAATCTTTCAATCTTTTAATCTTTCAATCTTTCAATCTTTTAATCAACAATTTCCCCCATCAATGCCTTCATTCCGTAACTGCCATTCGCTCTTTTTTTAGGAGAGAATATACCGTATTTTCTCTAATAGTAGTGCACCGTGAGCGTCGCCTAAATTGCTCGAAATCTCGAAAACCGCTTATCAGAACCTATCGATGTGGGGTCGGAAAATGTAGCTGACGATGAGATCTAGTGGGAGATTTGAGTGTTGAGCTTCTGCTCAAATATCTTCTTATTATAACATCTAAAATGCCTGTAAATGACTGTAAACTGTTCTTTGTGCGGCTGCGTGCTCGCCGTCTGGCAAACCGTTCCGGCATAAATCCCTGAATTCCAGCAATCTTCTTTTATCTTCTGCAAAAGCTTGGAAACCGTAAAATAGTCACCAACTCGACTCGCCGGGGTGCACTACTATTAGAGAAAAGACGGTACTCATTTCTTTTTTTTAATATAAATTACTGCATTATGGTGCTTTATAAAGATAATTGCTAAATTTGAAGAAAAAAAAAACTTTATTACTGGTTTACAATCAGTAAAGAAAAAGAATAGAAGAGAAACGCTTAGCCAGAGTTTGTTTTTTTTAAAATGATAAGGCCAATATACTCGTTACTCTTAAATATAAGTAAAAGAACCCGATTTGACAAAAGGAAATTTTTTTGAGAAAAGAATAGAGAAAAAGAAAGAAAACCCGTAATATTTGTAAGAATACTACCGTAAAATCTAAATGATAGAATGGAAATTACGTTTAAATGGATGATATCATAATGTATTGCTAGCTAGCTGTTAGCTGTATTGCTAGCTAGCTGTTAGCTGTATTGCTAGCTAGCTGTTAGCTGTATTGCTAGCTAGCTGTTAGCTGTATTGCTAGCTAGCTGTTAGCTGTATTGCTAGTTAGCTGAAATACGAGTTGTTTGGTTGTTTAAGAGTGGGATTCGAGAGATCATTGTTGGTCGGCTGAGCAGAGGACGAAGACTGGAGACTGGTGAGGGTGAGGGAGACTGGTGAGGCTCCTAAAAACCGCATTCATAATATAATCATTTTCAAATAAGCTACTGTAACCTTTTCAAAGAGTACTGTATTGTCGTTACTTGCGTTAAACGATCATTAAATTTCTCTACTAATAGAGCTGTTGTTATCTCTATGCTAAAAGATGTACAGTGAATTAAAACAGCTTACCTATAGCATAAATAGCTCAAATATCTAAGTTTTTTAGTGGAAAACTGAAATTTTTAAGTTTTAAATAAGATTATACTACTTTTAATCTAAATTTAGTACCTTTTTGGTTTCCTCGACGAGCGTTGAAGTGGTAGAGATCTGTGAAGAGGTCATCGGATCGTGAAAAGCCGTTTCAGCTTCATGCAATGTACCCAATTCACGATCAAAAGATCTAAAAAGCTTCTTATTTTAAACATTCTTAACATAAAATTTATTTGAAAGATTCTTATAGGAAAACTGGCTCTTCTATTTTCAATCCCCCTCTAATACCCTGACTACCCTGACTACAAAAAATTATCTAT